TCTCCTATTATAGTGTATATCTTTTTCTAAGCATGTCAGTCTTTTGTGAGAGACATGGGACATCAACAAATAATACAGATCCATAAAACATTTATAATAGTTAATTAGAGCTGGTTAAAGCTTTTTATTTCATTTGATTTCCTGTTTCATAGAAAGTTTGTCATCTATTTCAAGGCAGGATCAATTCCCAACTTTCTGCCCCAAAATGCTTATCTGCATCTTTTAAAGAACATTTTATTTGTCTTAACAAAATATATTCATTGATTAAAACACAGATAAACAAAAAAGCAGAAGAGCTAAAAGACACTGTGTGGTTAAGAACCATTCTACACACTGATTTCATACCCACTTTTCTCTCTAATCAGTGTATCTCATAAGCATTTTCTTATAGTCTTCTACATCATCATTTCTAAAAAATATTTTTTAGTTATAGGTGGACACAGTATCTTTGTTTTTATGTGGTGCTGAGGATGGAACCCAGTGCCTCATGTATACTAGGCAAGTGCTCTACCTCTGAGCCACAACTCTAGCCCTACATCATCATTTTTTGATGGTTCAAAGCATCCCACTGACTGCACCAGAGTAGCAATGAGATTGCATCTCCACAGAAATATCAAGGATACTCTTACTTAAACTAATGTGAGTGAACTTCTCTTATCTGAAACTATCATGTTTAAGGAGTATGGGTATAAAATATTTAATCTGTCTTTTGTTGGCAGACAATGCTGCAATGAACTCTACACAGCTCAATATTTTCAATTTTGATTATTTTGAGAAGTTCCTACAAGTGTACTTATTCAGTCTCAGAATTTTAAGGATTTTGATAACTCTAAAATTCCTGGGGGTATCAATTTCTGTTTCTACCTGCAATGCCTGTTCCACTGAATCCTTGCCCAACACACATTTTCTTTTTAATCTCTGACAATTTAACAGGCACTTAATGTGACATTTACATTTACTAATAATTCAGCTTGATATGTGCATCTACAGCTCTTGTGTGTGCATGTTTGTGTTTCTTTTTTGAGACAAAGTCTTACTATGTTGACAGGTGCCCTGTTAGTCTCAAACTTGTGGAATTAAGTGATCTTCCTGACTCTCATTCTCCAAAGTAGCTGGGACTACACCACTACACAGACTATATTTTGATATATTTTTGTTACTCTTTTGCCAATTTGTAATAGTTCTTTAATTCTGAACAGTCATGCCACTTTGACATCCTCCTACCAAGTTCTATCTCCAATCAATTTATGTACTTGATCTATGGATCTCATTTCCTCTTGTATATATATATTTAGTTGTTAATGGACCTTTATTTTATTTGCTTATTTATATGTGATGCTGGGAATCAAACCCATTGCCTCACACATATGAGGCAAGCTCTCTACCGCTGAGCTACAACTCCAGCTCCTCCTCTTGTTTCTTTAGGGAGTTAGTCAGTTATCCTCTTTTTTGGCAGTATCTAATCTCTTCCAGGTTACCATTTTTTTTCCCTCTTGTATTAATACACATCAGTAAGTCTCTTTCCTATTTGGAAAAATTCCAATTTCTTTCTTTCACTTGCCATTCTCCTCTGGCAACTAACCTTCTTTTCCTTTACAGCTAAACTTCTTGAAAGATTTGTCTTCACATTTTGCATCCAAACTCACTGCGAACAGATTTACATTAAGGCCTCAATACCTTCTTGTTGCTAAGATTTTTAACATCACAATTAATATCATTCATAGATGAAAAAAGCAAAATGGTTTTCGCCAAGTCAATTTGACTATGTAAAAAAAAAAACCAAAACAAACCTTAGGCAGAGAACAAAAATTGATAGGTAATACATTAAAAATTTAAGCTACTTCTGATAGCTGGATTACTGAAAAATTATTATTTTCTTTTTTAAAATTTCCATAGTTACAAAAACAAGAATAATTTACTTTCGCATTAAAACACATTATGATGTAATTTAGAAATTCTCAACTCACTTTCTAAAAGGAAGCGGAAAACTAGAGAAAGGACAGGGAGAAGCCACTGGACTGCACTTCATTTCGCCTCAATACTCAAAAGAGGGCGCGACCCAGATTCCCAGGTCCAGCACTCTCGCGGTGAAACGCGACCGATTGGATGATCTTCTTTGAGGAGGGCTCTCTTGGCCCTTTTGCTCATCCCTAAAGACCTTGAGCATCCCAACCTTTTCTGCTAAACGCTCCAAACCGCAGATAACTGTCATTCGCCTCCGGTTGCCCAGGTAACACCCACAACCCCATTCCCGCCTCCTTAACTTTTCCCAGAATGCCTCACGCCTTCTCGCTCACTCACTTCCGGGGTCGGAGGCGTGACTTCTTCCGGAAGTAGATGCCTGTTGGTCTTCCGGGGGCGATTCCTGGAGGGCTGGGGTTATTATAAGGTGGAGACGTGGCGTATTCGCAGGAAGGGTGGCGGGGTACGTTTTCTTTCTAACGTTGAAAGTGACTGGAAAGATAAGGAAACGTAATAATCTTTTGGAGCTTTGTTGACTCAATAAGTGGGTTAGGTGTTAGTTATTTTAAAAAGTGCATATTTTAATTAGTTTGATTTAACCATTCCACAGTGTATATATATTTCAAAATACGTCGAACACCATATGTGCACTTTTTGTCAATTGAAAATGAGTTGAAACAGCATTAAATGTTAAACAGCTGGAAGAGGGTAAACACTGTAAAAGTATATGTAACTTCATTTGTTAATGAGATAGAATTGAACAACTTAATTTCCTATAAAAAACATTTATTTTTGCTTTAGAAAATGAGGGCCAAATAAACACTGAATTGTACTGAATGCCATGCTTTTTCCAGCAGTTTTACGGCATCATAAATATTTTTGTGTCTTACACTGCTAATGAGTTCCATAGAAGAATTTTTAGCCCATAAACACATTTGTTCAGCATTCTCCTTTTGGCAACAGTAATTAGAATTTTTATAGGACTTTGCTAAAGTTCTTCTTGGTTGAATAACTATTTTTAAAATATTAAACAAATGAGGGCAAGCACCTGGCGCCATGGTGGTGCACTCCTGTACTCCCAGCTAGTCGGGAGGCTGAACTAGAGGCCAGCCTGTGTAATTTAGCTAGACCTATTTTGAAATTTAAAAAAATGGCCCCGGGATATAGCTCAGTGAGTGAGTCCTTAGGTTCAATCCCCCAGTACTGAGGTGGGGGGCGGTCAGATAAGAAAATGAAGACAACAAAACCAAACCCCAAGACAAGACCTTTAAATCTCATGAACTTAGAGACAACCACTGTGAACACTATGGAGTTTTCCACTACTATGCATATAGTAACTAAAAATTGAAAAGGCAATCACATTGTATGTACTGTTTGTAACTTGAAAAGCTTTCAATGAGCGTATTTTATTAAAAGGCACTTGTTTGCATTATACTTCTTATTGGACATTTGAGCATTTCTGTCCTTTTTTTTTGTCTTACTAAGTGCTACCATGGAATAATGAAAAGTTTTATAGCTAAATCTGCCCACACTCTCATTTCTTAGTGGTAATTATTTTTGTCTTTTAAACTCATTTGTATTTGTATTTTCTTCCCTAATGCCTTCTCATTCCACCTGTGTGTCCTTATACTGTATGTGGATGAAGTTGGACATTTGGCATCCAAAGCCCACTCAAGTCTGGCACGGTGGCTCAGGCCTGTAATCCCAATGACTCAGAAGCTAAGGCAGGAGGATCACAAGTTGGAGGCCAACCTCAGCAGTTTAGGCCCTAAGCAACTTAGTGAGACCCTGCTAAAAAAAATAAAAAGGGCTGGGGATATGGCTCAGTGGTAAATTGCCTCCGGGTTGAATCCCCACTACCAAAGCAAACAAACAGAAACCAAAACCACCAAAACACCCCACTAAGTAGAAAAGCATTTTTATGCTTATAATAGAATTGAGGAAAATTCAGAATAATATAATAAAAATTTTAATACTTATATAACCACTGGTATTTTGGTATGATTTTTTACTGTTACTTTTAGTAGTGAGTATTGAAAAGTGCTAATTTAATGGCTCTTAATTTGCACATTTTGCTTATTCATGTAGCTGAATAATCTTTTAAATAGTATTTAAAATGTTTACAGCTATAGTCCATTTTAGGCCCTACATTCTCTTTCCTTCAGTATTCCAAGTTAATCACACTGAATTGTAATGATTTAATTTTCTGTATGTGTGTGCTTTAGTTCTATAACAGGATTGAAAAGTGGTTGTGTGGTCCTAGATAAATTATTTTATTTTACAAAGGGAAGTACTCTTACCTGCAAATTAGAGATAATATTACATATTTTTGAAGGGTTGTAGTGAGGATTAGAAATAATGTATCCAAGGTGAGCTCAATAAACAGTATCTACTTTTTCTTTTTTCTTATAGCTTCAGAAATCTCTTCATAAGCGGTGTTCATGTTTTTATAATATTTTAAATGTGAGTAATGTTAGCATCCCACTAAATTTAGATATTTACTGAGCAACTATGACACAAGGCACTGTTTATCTCAAAGTCTTGTGACCCTATATTATTTAGATATATTTCCTGTGTAAGTCTTAAGCTGCTCCTCACTTTCACCAGTTTTATTCATCTTTGTTTCCTTAGAAGGATCCTCTCCTCTCTCTCCCCTCCTTTCTCCTCCCCTCTCCTCTCTTCTCCCCTGGGTAGCTTACCATGGGGTGCTCCCCTACTGAGTTACATCCCCATCCTTTTATTTTGATACAGGGCCTCATAGAGTTGCCCAGGCTGGCCTCTATTTGCAGTCCTCCTGCCTCAGTCTCCAGAATACCTAGGATTACAGAAGTGTGCTACCACACCCAGGTTGTTTCCTCAGGCTCTCCATTCTGCAGGCACCATTGTAGTGGCGTTGAATGAGTGAGCTAAGCTGAATAATTTAACGGGAAAAGAAAAACACACAAATTAGATAAAACCTGGCTTGTTGTGATGAAAGCAGTAACAGGTATGAAGTACTTTGTACTTTGGGAGATCTGGAGACATTAACTTAGATTAATATCTAAGACATGTTTTCACCTGGGCTTTAAATCATGGGGACTAAAAAAAAAAAAAAGGCTTAAAAATAGGAGTAACAAGATGAGTTCGGGCTTGGAGGTAGAAGTAAACAGCGTTTTGTTATCTCAGAGTTATTTGGGGTGGCAAGAGAGTAGGGTAGACGAATGGGTCCAGATGAGCCAGAAAAAAAGGAGTTGGGTTCCACATCTTGAGGCTTTTGATGTGACAAATCATTCTTTGGAATCAAATGTTTGAAAATCAAGATTTTCAAACGCTCCTGAAAGGTACTGTTTTCAATATGGTTTGGTAGAGTGGATCAAAGGGACCGCAGGAGTCAGAAAAGGTGGACAAGAGATAGCAACTGGCCTTTCCTTGGGCAAGGTAGGGAGTGGGAGGATTGTAGAGGCCTTCAGCGGCAGAAAGGGACTTAGTGACCAGTGTTGGCCAGGAAGAGAGGAAGGAGGCAGGAAATCCAGCAGTTCAGCAGAAAACTTCATAAAGGTGCATTTGGGGACCAGCCACCTACACCCAGGGGCAACTGCGAATCGTGAGTAGCCGGAGTGCTGCCTGGGAGGGCAGCCGTCAGTCCCAGCTCCGCCCACATGCACGAACCTCTGGCCGCGCGTAGGGCCTCTCGCCCCGCCCAGAGGCTGTAGCCACGCCCCTCTGGCGTCCCTATCGGGGCTCAGCGACCCTGCAGCCCAACGTCCACCGTCCTGCTTAGCTGCTGGTTGGCTCAGGGGAGGAGGGGCCCGGACCGTGGGGTTGGTGGGAGCGAGGTTACCTTTTCCTGTATCACACCGGAGTTGGATCTGGAGGAAGCTGCTGCAAAGTCTGCAGCGGCATGGCGGGAGCTCCGGACCAGCGCCAACCTGGCCCCGCAGCAGGGGAGCAGCTGCAGCAGCCACAAGTCTCGTGCCAAGTCTTCCCGGAACGGCTGGCCCAGGGGAATCCCCAACAAGGGTTCTTTTCCAGCTTCATCACCCATAACCAGAAGTGTCAGCAAATGCTCCTGAAGACGGTGGAAACAAGTAGGAGCAGAAACCTGGAGGCTGGGGGTCTGCGGGGTGGTGTCTGACACCGAGTGGGCGAGGAGGGGGCCTGGACCCTTCTCAGCCGGGGAGCTTTAGTTCAGTCTCAGTCGCTGCGGGTTTCAGGCACCTCTGCGCAGAGTTTAGGAAGATCTAGCATCTTGAGGGCGGAGACGGGGGCCCAGACCTTAATTTCCACATCAGAGGAGGTGCTGAGGCCTCGTTTGGTTCTACTGTTGCTTGTGGGATGAACAAAAAGTTGGGCTAGGAGTTTGCCCTTTTTGGTCAAGTTCAGTGATTTCTTATATAAGTTATGAAATAACAGGGAGACTTTATAGTCAGGGTAAGGTGGGGTTTAAAAGAGCCCCGTTAATTAAGGCATTCTTTTTAAATTTTATTGGTTGTTCAAAACATTACAAAGTTCTTGACATATCATATTTCATACATTTGATTCAAGTGGGTTATGAACTCCCATTTTACCCGGTACACAGATTATTGTTGGCAGTGCAAAACCAGTTTTTCAAACCTGCTCTTCATTGTGAGGGTTTCTTAACTTCAAGCATTGGTGGGCTACCACGCATAGAAACCTTGAAAAATTGTGTGTATATACACCTACATGAAGTTTTTTGGGGAGAAAGTTCATAGTTTCATCACATTCTCAAAGAGGCTCACTGATTCAAAAAGATTAAGAACTACTGTTGTGGATTAAATAGGGAGACCCACTGAGGCATATCTCTCAGTCCCAGAGATATTGCACTAGAGAAGATTTCTTAACTTCTTTGGATTGAAATAGACTTTCCAAGTCTACTTAAGATAGGTTTAGTAAAGTTTTAAACATACTTGTCCTATAGCAAGGTTACTGTTAAACAGCTGGCCAGTCAAAAGTAGACTTCCCAAAGATTTTCCAGCCTCTGGATTACTAGCATATAGTGAATCAAAGGAGATGGGAGGATGAAAGGAAGGGAATGATAATGACATTATACTTACTTTATAAATGTGAACTGAATGTTTCCTAGAATGTGTGGGAAGAAATACAAAGAGGAGTAAGGTCCCTACCTTTAAGGCATTTACAAGTGGAATATAGTAGAAAGAACCTGGGCAGTAAAGTTAGATATGAGTTCAAATTCTGGTCTGTCTTTTAAGTTTGTATGGAAGAGTGACTTAACCTGTCTTATCTGTAACAAAATAAAACAAAACAAAACAAAAAAAACCAAAAGGGATGAACAGATAATCACACCTCTTTTAGGGTTGTGAGGAATAGATTTGAAGAAGGTAAAATGCCAGCATATCAGGAGCTGAATAAAGGGTAGCTTTCTTACAGCAGAAGAGCCAAATAGTGGAGGACAATTTAGGATAGGATGTGAGGAAGTTGGGGTGCTGACCATGATTCCGTGCACCTCAGCCTTCCAAAGAGAAAGCCCTTAGTTGCTTGAATAATCACTTAAATATGATGCCTGGCATCTGGTATATACTTATTTAGTAATACTTATTATTAGTAGTAATATTTCTGTTAACACTAAGAAGAACCAAGTTAGTAAAGCAGTAAGCTATACCTTGCTACTTTTCTTTTACTCACCTATTTTTGCATTAAACATTTTTTTACCCCCCCCCCCGACTTCCTGTACATTTATACTCAGACAAGATACATGCATGCAAAGTGTATATTAGAGGCATCTGGGTTCATTGTATTTTCCAGGAGTAGTTACAGGCTCAAGTCTTAAAAGGCCCTCAGGAATCATTTAGGATTCTCACTCCCATACAGGAAAACCTCTGTGCCATCACTGTCCAGATATCTATATATCTCTCCTGGAACAGGTTACCTTTTTTGGGAGGCACTCTCAGGCTACTTGTCTGTTGTTTCCAACTTTAATTGTTGGAAAAATCCTTTCTCATGAGTTGAAATCTGTCACATGTGACTTTGGTCCTCATGCTACTTTTTGAAGCACATTGACTGAATCATCTCCTCATGATACCCTTTCAATACTTGAACCTCTTGTGGTCCTAATTAACTCTTTTTTTCTCTTTCCAAACCCTCAAATCCTTTAGTGCTTCTTGGCAAGCACAGCCCCCCACTATTTTAGTTGCCTTCCCCCATGGGAGAGCTTCAACTGGTGAGTCCCATTTGGAGTGTGGAACTTGGAATGGGACCTTGTGTTACCAGTGCTGTCTGGTCAGCACAGAAATAGTGAGGCTATGTCATTCTTCATATCTGGAAATTATGCAATTGATTCTTTCTATGAATGTGGCTCAAGATTCCTCCACTCTTTTGGTATACACTGTAATTCTAAATGTTTGATCATTTAACAGAAAATGACTTTTTTTTTTTTTTTTTTGGTACCAGGTATTAACTCAGGGGCATTTGACCACTGAGCCTTATCCCTAGCCCTAGTTTGTATTTTATTAGAGACAGGGTCTCACTGAGTTACTTAGTGCCTCACTAAATTACTGAGGCTAGCTTTGAACCCGCGATCCTCCTGCCTCCACCTCCCGAGCCGCTGGGATTACATGTGTGCGCCACCATGCCTGGCCTACAAATGACTTTTGACACTGTTTAAGATGCTTGATGGTACCACCTTCATGTTTGTATTAGTGTTTTATTTAATTAAAAGTTTGCTTTGAAGTTAATTTAAGTTCACATTTCTATGCTCATTTTTTTTTGCCAATTTTCAGATGGTATGATTTCCTTGTGACTTATGAATTACTTTTTTTTAAAAAAATATTTTTTAATCATTGTCAGAACTTTATTTTATTTATTTATTTTTATGTGGTGCTGAGAATTGAACCCAGTGCTTCACATATTCGAGGCAACTGCTCTACCACTGAGCCCCAGCCCCAGCCCTGTGAATTACTTTTTGATAATCTATTTCTATTTGGATAATTTAATTGGTGCTACTTTTCCTATTAGCATACTTAATTGAACCAATATCTTTTTAGATCCATATGTCAAACTTCTACTTGATGCCATGAAGCACTCTGGTTGGTAAGTAATTCTTGTTTACTTTAAAAAAAATTTTTTAAATTTTGAGACTGGGTTTTACTGTGTTGTCCAAGTTGTCATCCAGGTTGTCCTCAAACTCATGATCCTCTTGCCTCAGCTTCCCAAGTAGCTGGGATTATAGACATGTACCACTGTGCCTGGGTAATTAAATCTTTTAAAAGTGCTGTTCTGACTGCCAAAATAAAAAAACCCGAAAAGCTTTGAGCTACTTCAGATTTCTGACTTCAGATCATGAAGACTTTTTCATGGATAGTGATTGCCGTATTCTCTCAAGGCAAGCCTGGCTTTTCAGTGTTTTTTGACCTAACTCAGTCTCTGGCTCTATTATTCACCTTGGAGATTTAGTAAATACAACGTTCAAATCTTTCTTTCTTTCTTTGGTACTATAAGGATTGAACCCAGAGATGTTCAATTATGAGCCACATCCCCAACCCTTTTTAAATATTTGTTATTTAGAGACAGAATCTTGCTGAGTTGCTGAGGCTGGCTTTGAACTAGTGATCCTCCTATCTCAGCCTCCCAAGCTGCTGGGATTACAGGAGTGTGCCACCACACCCAGCCCAATCTTTCTTGTTAGTAATCTTTCTGGCCTTTTCATTCCACCAGCCTAGACATTGTCCTTAATGGAGGACAGAGTGTTCAGAGTGTTATGTAGGAGTCTTTTATAGGTTTAACTTTGAGGGGATTAGAAGAAGTAACTTCTGACTTCAACTTAACATTCCAACCAAAGCAGGAACTTCAGCATATTTCCAATAGTCTTTTTTTTTTAAAGTGAAAAGGTTTACTTTCTTTATTTTATATTATATTATAATATTTTATATTAAAATAGGAAATACATCATGTATCACAATATCCAATTCAGTCAACCAAATGCTTTATAGGATCACATAGAATTTGAATGAGGATCAGTTTGGCAGATAATCTCCCTATTTTACAGGTGAGAAAATTGAGTTCTGTAGGTATTAAATTGCTTTCCCAAGGTTTCACATCTGTTGGTGGCAGAGGGGATTTCCTGTATTTTGGAGGTTTCTCCAAACTTCTGGTCCAGGGCTATTTCCCACATATAAACTTCTCTTTTATCTGTTCTTGCCTTTTAGTGCTGTAAACAAAGAAAGACACTTTTCTTGTGAAGATTGTAATGGAAATGTTAGTGGAGGTTTTGATGCTTCAACATCTCAGGTTGGTATCTTTGTTTTCTCTCCTTTAATCCTTTCTTATGATATTTTTCTGAGCACTTTCTACATTCTGAATATTCTGTTTCATAGATTTTCTGTAAGTTTTTAAAAAAGTTTAAGTCATGGTCCTTCCTCTTAAGGAGCTTATATTCTCAGAAGAGATAAGACACAAACAGATGATTATAAAATTTTAGGCAGATTCAACTATTTCAGGTAGGCCTGCTGTGTTAGTCAGCTTTCCATCACTATGATAAATACCTGAGATGATCATCTTATAAGAAGGAAAGGGTTATTTGGTTCACAGTTTCAGAAGTTTTAGTCCTTACTTGCTTGGCTCCCCATACCTTTGGATTTATGGCAAGGCAAGGCAGTACATCATGGCAAGAGTGCATGACAGGAAAATGCTCATCTCATGGTGGAGTGGAAGTAAGAAAGAGAGACAGTGAAGGGTCAGGGTCTCAATATCCTGTTCAGGTGCACAGTCACAAAGACTTAACTTCTTTCCCCCATGCCCCATATCCTAAAGGTTCCACCACCTTCCAATAGTACATCAGGTTAGAATCAAACCTTCAACACGTGGGCCCTTGAGGGACATCAGATCCAGGCTGCAGCACTTGGTACCACAATGGAAAGTGATGTGATTGGCTGAAAAATACCAAGGGATTGCTACAGGATATAAAGCTTCTTCAGGGGCAAAGACTCAGAGTTGTAGTAGCCTGAGCATAAGTGGTGTGCTGTGAAATCAGCAGGCATGTTGGGCAATGGCATGTGGTCTAGTTTAGGTGGAAGGCAGGAACGTGGGCGTGGGGAGAAAGGGGAAATAGAATTGGAAAGAATGGTGAGCTAAGTAAAAGGGTTACACCTTAACATGGTGAGAAGTGATAACTACCTATGGAAGTTTCTGATCCGAAGTAAGTTTTCTTAAAGTTGCTTTTCATGGTGCCTGGCCCATAGTGAGTATTTAATGTTTCATTGTTAGTTTTAAGTCCTTGAAGAGTTTGACAGAGTCTTGAAGGTGGTAAATGGGTTATGTCATATGATGATTGTAGGTAAAGGTGTTATAAAAGTAACTATTTCCAATTGTATCTGTAATCCTCATTTAACTACTCTTAACTGTTTTGCTGGTGAATTTCATATGTATTTTGGTTATTTGTAATTGTTGTATAGTAATCGTGGGAAAAGGCAGAATAGTTCAAGGGTGAGAATTTTGGGTTTTGGCAAGTTATTTTTATTGTTCTTGGGCAAGTTTTTTCTTATTCTCGGTTTCCTCATTTGTAATTTGGTATTCACAATACTGACAAGTTTCAAAATGGCTCTTGGTGAGTTCATCTGTTGCTTCACTCTGGGGGTTAAATAGTGTGGACCTTTTGAACTTTCACAGTTAACTTTTTTTTTTTTGGTACCAGGGGTTGAACCCAGGGGTACTTAACCACTGAGCAACATCCCCAGCCCTTTTTATTTTTTAATTTTGAGGCAGGTCTCACTAAGTTGCTTAGGACCTCACTAAATTGCTGAGGATGGCTTTGAACTTGCGACCCTCCGGCCTCAGCCTCCCCAGCCACTGGGGATTATAGGCACAGGCTGCCACACCCGACTTCCCTTTTTGTTTTTTAAATTAAATTTTTCATTCATATAGAAGAGTAAAAAACCTGTATGTCCACTTTCATTAATAAAAGAAACAGCTGTACAACTGCAACCCAGATTTGAAAAGTGAGACATCACCAGGATTTTAGAAGCCTGTGTGCTCATCTTTAACCACATCCCTTTATTCCTTACCCTGAGTTTTGGAAATCATTACTTTTCTGAATGTTTTACCATGTACATATACAGATTAGAAATGTACTGTTCTAGATGCCTGCTTTTGTGCTTTGTATCTAGAATGCTTTGAGTTCTATGTAATACTTTGTAGTTTTTTTTTTTTTTTTCCATTACTGGTGTTTGAAACCAGGGGTGTTCTTATTACCAAGGCTACACCCCTGGCACTTTGATTTTTGAAACAGATTTTGGGTAAGTTGCTGAGATGGTATATGTACATGATAAAACACTCAGAAAAATAATGATTTCCAAAACTCAGGGTAAGGAACTTGTGGTCCTCTTGCCTCAGCCTTCCGAGTTGCTGGGATTTAAGGCATGTGCCACCACACCCAGCATTATGAAATCTTACAGTAGATTGTCTTCTGTAAATCAATTCTTTAGTTTAACATTGTGAGATTCTTCCACACTAAATAAACCTCTCTGGTTTATTTTATTTTCTGTAAAATATGGGTAATTATTATATCTATCTTATAGAATGATTTTGAGTATTAAATGAGATATCTTTAATAAAGTTGCTTATCATGGTGCGTGGCCCATAGTGAGTATTTAGTGTTTCAATGTTAGTTTTAAGTCACTTTTTTATAGTATTCCACTGTGTGAGTGTTACAGTTTGTCCTAATATTGTTTCCAGTTTTGTTGTTATGAATGATGCTGCTATGAACATTTTTACCTTCTGTCCTAATGCACATCTGCAAGAGTTTCTCCAAGATACAAGCCTTAGAGCATAATTTCTGGGTCTTGGAATATATATACACTGGATTTTAGCTGGTCATGTCAAATACTTTCTTCTCAGGGTTTCATAGACATAACACTCTGGTTACTCTTTTGTTACGAAACCCTTCTTCTCGTCATTAACTATTGAAGTCCTTTTATCCTTTGTGTACTTACTTTTTCTTACTTTGTATTCTGCCAAGGGTATCTCATTAATTTTTCTAGGTTAAAATCTCTTTTGAACTCCACATTCATGTATCTAAGTGCCCATTGAACACCTCTTCATGGATGTCTTAAAGGCAAATTAGACCTGACATGTCCAAGTCCAAATTCATGATTTTTGCATTCTTTGTCACCACCCAACCTAATTTTTTAAATTTTGCATATTTCATTTGTTTGGTCTTTTAGCTTTTCATATTTCAGTGAATGGTTCTACCATCCATCTTATTACTTAAGCCAGAAATTTATGGATACTTTTTATTCCCTCCTCATCTTCTACCCATCACCAAATTTTGTCCAGTTTGCCTCCTAAATTCCTCTTTTAGTCTTACCATTCTAACTCAGGTACCCCATTCTCTGACTCTTGCCTAGAATATTTCATTAGCCTAGAAGTAATTTCTCTGCATCCAGTTTTGTCATCTTCTGCTGCTTCATCCAAGTATAGTAAAAAGGATAAAAACAACATAAAACAAAAGCAGTGGTCTATGTCAGCTCTCCCCCTCAGTGGCTTCCCATTGTTCTCAAGATAAGACAGGGGAGTCTTTTGGTCTCTGCCTTCCTCACCAGCCTCATCTCAGGCCTGCCATGGCCGACTCTGGGCTTCAGCTCTTTGCCCTGCTTTCAGTTTTCAAATATTCTGTGCCTTTAAACAGACTAGATTACCGAATGTTCTTTCTCACTGTATGTTCTCAGAACAACCTGAGTTTTTCTTGATGACAACTGTCATTCATGTTTTTAAATATTTTGGTAAGTATTTATTAATTTCTGTGTATTAGTAGACTGTGAATCTACTATTAGATCTTAATAAATAAATAATAAATTTTAAATGAATATATAAAATTTCTGGTACATATACTAGTGTCTAGTATTTAGGAAGTGCACAATAAATGGTGTGTCATTATTGGCTCTCTTGTGTCTTATTCTTACAGAGTCCTGCTCAGTGTGCTATTTGTGAAGATCTTTTTGGGAATTTTTCCTGGCATTTTTTTCTTATTCTAATAGAATGAGGACAACGGTGTTCATTTATTGTTCAGAAATGTGCTAAGAACTATTTTAGATATATTCTTGTTTAATTCTCACAATTCAATGAGGCAGGTACTGTAAATGATCTCCTTTTTATAGTTGAGTAAATTTGCCCCAGTTTACCAAGTTACCAAGGACTGGAGTTGGAATTTGAATCTGTCTCTTTCATTCCAAAGTCTAGTCGTAACCACAGGGCTATGAAATACAAGATAGCTCAGTGAGGACTCTTATGGGAATAAATGTCCTTGACCCAAGTGCCATTGTGATCCCGAGAAAGGAGAAGGGAGAAAATAGTTATAGGGAAGGCTAATAGAGCATGCACGTTGAGGACTGGGACTTGACAAGGAGCAGGTGTGGGGTTGGTGAAGAAGAGTAGCCAGAGGCATTCCAAGCAGGTGAGTTCACAGGATCATGTGGGAGGTAAGGTAGAATCTGTGGAACGAAAGTAGATTTTAGAAATACGTGAACTTCTTTTATTTTGGTGTCTTCTAGATTGTTTTGTGCCAGAATAACATCCGTAACCAGGCCCACATGAGCAGAGTGGTCACCCACGAGCTCATTCACGCATTTGATCATTGTCGTGCTCATGTCCACTGGTTCACTAATGTCAGGCATTTGGCCTGCTCAGAGGTGAGTTTCACTGTAGAAGACACTTACATTTTTTCCCTAGAATACTCTGTGCTTTACATTTTATTCAGTATAATTTGCTTAAACTTACTGCTTTTCTTATTGTCACAGTTCTACTTTAGTCTTGAATTTCTATATTTATATATAGAATATACATATAATCTATATTTAACTAATAAATATAATTTTTGAGGTACAACTAGAGAAATTTTAAGTATATTTTAAAGTGGGTATTAAATATAACTTAAGGCCCAATAATAATGATGACTGACTTTAATTATAACAATAAACCATTTTTTCCTATGGAATAAGTTATATAACATTAAATAATATAATATTTAACATTTACTGAGGGCTACATGCCAAACACTATTCTGTTTGAATGGATTCTTATTTAATCTTCGCAACAACCTATCAAGGAAGATATTCTTATTATCCTTGCTTTACATAAGTGGAAATAAAGCATTTGTTTAGATTCGTAGTTAGGAAGTGGCAGAGGCAGGGTTTCAACCAGGGTTCTTAATTAGTTTGCCGTGTTAACACGTCTTCCATAGGTAAAGTCCTTGCTTGACCTAGAATAAAACATTTAGTTTCAAATATATAACATAAAATATATTTATTCATAAGCACTTTGGATTCCTTTCACATGTATACACACATATGTTCCTAGAGAGATGTGTATTCCATACTACTATTTTATTAATTGAAGAGGGCATTGTAATGAAAAATTAAAAAAAAAATCGTATCAATCTCAAGCTTACACTTTACAACTTAGATTATTTTTCTTTCCCATGAAATTAATAAGTGACCCCACTGCATCTAATTATATATAATTCATATTATTTGGAGAGTAGATTGAAACCTGAGTTTTTAAATAGCTCTCTATCTTGGGCATTTAATGCCTATTAGCTAGTTAAGTATGTTAAGCTCCTTGGGGAATGAAGCCATTCTCTTTGCAATGAATTAGCAAAAATGTTGCCAGAGGGTGTGGAACCTATGTGGGTAGTTCCAAGACTTTAAAAAAAAAAATCTATTGAAATGTAGCAAATTAGAAAATATGTTCTAACTGCAGTCTGTCATTTTCATAGCATGACTGCTTTTGAATGTTCTTGGTTCTTTGTATAAAGAATGTTTTTAATTCTTTGTATTAATCTTTCATAGTTAAGTCAAGGTCCTGGAGAAATGTCATGATAGGGGATCTAGGGAAAGTCTAAGAGAGTTTCCCCCCATGTGGACTGGGGCTGGGAGGAGTCCTATGATCAAAGATATGTCTTAGATACCAGTGTGTCCAGTTTTGAGCTCACTTTGCAATTTGGTTTGTAGATCAAAATACTCTCTTGAAGTCCTTTTGGTAGTTTCTAGAAGTGCTTATATCTTGTAGAGATATGGACTTTAACTTTTACTTTTAACTTTAACTTTTTTTAACTTTTGGTTTAAAAAAATTAGTTTTGTCTTAAGGCTATGGGGTAAAATTTAGAAAATTCCCTTTGGTAAGCGAATGAACTTTTCTCCAACCTCAGTGTATTTGATGTTGTCTACTATAGGTCACAAATGTGTGCTTTTGTTGTTAATGAAGAAAATTCTTTAAAAGAAATACTTAACTCTATTCCTAGAAAAACATGCTAATTTTATATTCTTTCTCAGTTTTAAAAAATTGTTTGCTATCATAAAAACACAGGGCATGAGCATTTATTTTCTTTTTGTTTGCCTTTTTTCTTTGTGATAGGTTCGAGCTGCTAACCTTAGTGGGGACTGTTCACTTGTAAATGAAATATTCAGGTTACGGTTTGGATTAAAACAACACCATCAGGTAAAAGCTAACATGAAATCACCTACCCTCAAGATTAGGATTAGGATTGGAAATAATGAATGAAAAAATGAAGTACATTAGTATTTGAAATTTGAAAGAACTCCTTATTGAAAAGCCCATTTAACTGAGTAGATGGAATTTACTTCTGCTTTACAATTACAGACAAACTATGTGTCTAGGAGATATTGGTAGTGAAAAGGGCTTTGCTTTTGCCTCTAGGATACTTTTGGATGGGGGTAGATGAAGAATAGAAGGAAACCACAGCCTGTCTTTCATTCTAAAGTCCTGCACTTATATTTGGAAGCTAACACAGTATTCTGGAGACAAATTGTAATTCCCTTCAGAACAGACTGCATGGGTAAGGATCAGTGCCCCTGATAGTTAAGTCAAGGCCCTGGAGAAATGTCATGATAGGGGATCTAGGGAAAGTCTATTTTTAAAATCGTGTGACAAGGCAGTATAGAGCTCAAGGATTGATAATGGAGATGAGAAGTTCTGCCCACAGCTCTCAAGGCTGTGTCCATGCTGGTTAGAGGTTTTCTGTGAGAAGAGCTTGTTGGGCTGATTTGTGAAGTTAGACTCATCAGGATAGCAGTTTCAACCAGATATAAAGAGGATAGGCTTGGAATGACAGAGAGGCCTTTGGTTTCCAGAGGAAAGAGCAACTCAACTCTGGGGTGGAGGGGTGGAAAGTCATGGCAAATTATTAATAGAAATTGTGAACTCAGTGAGCTGGAAGACAAGCCTGATGCTTGGAGATGGCAGTTATTCTGAATGGATTGATTGGACCATTAGGCTTCCAGTCAGTGCCAAGTCAACCCAGTGTACCTACTAACTGGTCATGCACCACATGTCTCTTACCCACTTCCCTGGCAAATTCTCTGTGTCACTGTCAGTGGAGAGATGGAAGCAGGAATGTAAATTAATGTACATTAATGTACAGAATGGAAGCAGGGTGTGCATTAGCATATCCTAGAACTAATAAGAAGATAATGTGATTAAAGCATGAGCTCTGGGTCCACGGTCTTTGAAAGAGAAGTCTCTCCCCCTTTTTACCATTGAATAAAAGAAAATAAACAGAAAATAAGTAAAACTAGCAACAGGTTGGGAGACAAGTGGAAGTAGTAGACCCTGGTTGAGGGAGAATGGAATCTCTGCTTCTGAATCCAAGAAATGGAAACAGTAGGTCCTGTAACTGACTGTAAGATTGCACAGTTATACTTTTATTTTGATAGAAATTTATTACATGTAGAAAGAAGTAAAGCTAAATTGTGGTTTACATTTGTGTCTTCCAACCATTTGGCTTCAGGAGACAGATTTTTTTTTTCTTTTGGTTCTGGGGATTGAACTCAGGGGCACTTGATAACTGAGCTGCATCCCTGCCGTATTTGTATTTTATTTAGAGACAGGGTCTCACTGAGTTGCTTAGCACCTTGCCATTGCTGAGGCTGGCATTAACTCCTGAATCCTCCTCCCTCAGCCTCCCAAGCTGCTGGGATTATAGGCGTGCACCACCATGTCTGGCAGGAGTCAGATTTTTAGTTCTTTTTTTTTTTTTCCTCTAGAAAGAAATTTCCTCTCTCTGGCAATTGCTGTTGTGGCTTCATATGGTTCGTTTGTTTTCTTGTTCTTTTATGCATGGCATTTATTTTTAAAATCAGCGTTTGCTGGATGCAGTGGCTCAGGCCTGTAATCCTAACTACTTGAGAGGTTAAGGCAAAAGGATTCCAAGTTTGAAGCCAGCCTGGGCAACTTAGTGAGACACTGTCTCAGTATAAAAAAATAAAAAGGGCTGGGGATGTAGTTCAGTAGTAAAGTGTCTCTCAGTTCAATCCCCAGTACCACCAAAACATCATCAACAACAAAAACAAACAAACAAATCAGTGTTTGGTGTAACTTGGGTTGAGAAGCACTGGTTTATATTCCAGTGCTAATTCCAGTTTAAGCATGTAGACCAAGTTAAATTAGAACTGGGAAAACACAGAGAAAATTGGTAATTGTCATGATGCACAGCCATCAAATCATGTTTTGATTATTTTTTTAGGAAATGATCAAAAGCTATTCTTTTAGTTTTGGACTAGAGTAGAAAAAGGTGAATTAAAAGCTCTCCAAGAACTAGAACAGCAGGCTCTTATATTTCTTAAAATATTTAAGTTAGAAGGTTGAAAAATTCCAGTCACTTACTGTGTAACATTAGGTAAATTATTTTCTTGGGACTAGAACTTTAATACTTATGCAAAGAACAGACAGGGAAAAAAAGTTTTGTTTAATTTTTGTTTCTGTCTAAAAATTAAGGCACTTTCCAAGTTTGGATGTATATGTGTGTGATTTTCTATTGCTGCCAGGGAAGAGAGTGCCCTTCTTGAAGGAAAAGTTAGCTAGCATTGGTCAGCTGAGAAGGAAGAGAGGTGAAGATGTGAAGTATATTTTAAATGTAATTAAATTTTATGGAAATCAATTAGGACCTTGCTTGTAGACATTTTTTTTTATGTGTGTGATTTTGAAAATTGGGAATTACCATTTAGCACACGTTGCCTAAAACTTCAGAGAATGACATCTGCTTATATTATTGGAAAACATGAGAACATTGAGGTCTGTCTTATGCCTAGAAGATTTTAAGTCTGGCTAAACATTTTCCATAATTTGAATTACATTTCTGTGTTTTCTTCTTTTGAATGACAAATTAATAAAGTAATATGAGAGTAAATTAATTTTAATTGTGGTTCAGACATTATATAAATTGATATTTCATGATTAAATTTCACATAAAATGAAGGCCACATACTTTTCTTTTTCCTTAGACTTGTGTGCGAGACAGAGCAATTCTTTCTATCCTGGCTGTTAGGAATATCAGCAAAGAAGTAGCTGAGAAGGCTGTTGATGAAGTTTTTGAATCTTGCTTCAATGACCATGAACCTTTTGGAAGGATCCCACATAATGAGAAATATGCAAGATATGCTCATAGAGACTTTCAAAACCGGGATCGATATTACTCAAATATATGAATGACATTTTATATTACAGAGCTTCAATCAGCATGAAGAAAAAAATATGGTTCTCAAGAAAACAAATGTACAAAATATAAATGATCAATTAAATACAGATGAAATGCAGAAGATACTTTAATATATGATCAGAAAGAGTAACAGGCAAAAAATGAAATTGTTTTAAGCCACAAGGTTAAAATTATGTCTTTGGAGTTAATCATTTGCTAATTAGGATGAATAAATTACATTTTGTATTTTCTACTGTATACTTGTATTTTTTAATATTTTATTTATTATTTTGATTTATTTTTATTACATGAGATTATTTTAAAATCTGATTATGAAACCTATGAAGTATGTCCTTGTCTGATGTTGACAGGGGATCAAAGTTGATATTTACATTAAATGTAAAGAAAAATGAACTGATCTCATTGTAGGACATTTTAAAAAATATTGTCATAATTAAAACATGTAAAGAATTAAAGTTGAGAATAACTCATTCAATGGTCACGCCATTTTCTCTCCACTCTTTCAGTATGCATATGAGCTACCATGTGGCTTAATTTTCGGAGGACAGTCTTGATTAAATATTTTTCAGTAAGGTAATGCATTAAATTTATAATGTAGTCTAGTTTTCATATGATCCTTTTCAAATCTTGTCAGGCCCTGTGTCTGAATTTTGGATTCAGAAGACACTGTCAGCTTATCTAAAACCCTTACCAAAGGCATCACATGCATATTTCACCTGCTCCTGGCAAATATCACTTAGATTTCACTTAGATTATGTGTAGACTGAAAAGATGGTGATGCTTATGTGTAGATGTGGCTTGAAGAGAGTGAAAGCAGGATTCAATTTTTTTTTTTTTTTTAGAATTTAAAATCTGTTTAGATACAAATTTTAACAGTGCATCAGTGTTCTGAGCGTGTTCCAAAGATGGAAGGTTCCTTAAGCTGAAACATGAGGTTTCTTTAGTTTGAAGAAGGTAGTATCTGAAGGAGGTAGCTATGGGTGGAGTTTTCTGTCACCCAAGATGGAGTGATAGTTTGTCACTCAAGAGGGAGTGAGTCCTTCATCCTCCTACTCATGTCTTTCTATGTACCTACTCTAACAAAAGGAGCAGTGTTTTGTTGTTGTTACTGAAGTGAATGTAGTGTAAATTCAAATCAGAGTGTTATAATTTCAGGATGCTAATGTAATCTCCATGGTAACCACAAAAATAGCTAAATACATGCAAAAAAGGAAATGTAAAGGGAGTTCAAACATTTCACTTAAAAAAATCAAACACAAAAGAAGTAATGTAGGAATTGAGACATAAAAATGTGATGCAGCATATAGAAAAGAGGAAAGTGACAGAAGCCTCTCCTTATCAGCTACTTTTAATGTAAATGGATTAAACTCTTCCATCAAAACAGATTTGTAGAAGGAGAAAAAAAATGATCCAACTATATGCTGTCTATAAGGGACTCATTTTAGATCCAAAGACACATGTTGGTTGAAAGTGAAAGGATGAAAAAGGATATTCCATGAAAGTAGTAAACATAAGAGAGCAGGGGTGGCTATAGCAATATCAGATAAAGCAGACTTAAAAAACAAAAAGCTAGATGTGAACTGTAAACCCAGTGATTTGGGAAGCTGAGATAGGAGGATCACAAGTTTCAGGCCAGTGTTGGTAACTAGTGAGACTCAAAATAAAAAGAAGTACTGTGTTTAATTCCCAGTGCCAAAAATAAAAGTAAATTTAAAAAAGTAAATTTAAAAGAAGACCAAGGATTTATTGGTCTTCTTTTAATTAATTTAAATTTAAAAAAAGACCAAGAGGGATATTGTAAATTAGTGAAAGGTTCAATACAACGAGATAAAATGATTATTAATGTTTATGCACCTAATGACAGGCTATCAAAATATGTGCAGCAAAAATTGACAGAATTGAGAGTAAATAATTCAATGAGAATAGTTGGAAAGTTCAATAATGAACAGCCAGACAGAAAATAAGTAAGGAAGTAGAGGACTTGAGCAACACAACAAATTCATCAGATCTAACTTGTGTGCTGGCCCCTGCCCCACCCAACATGCTCAACCCCAAAGCAAAAATATACATATTTTTCTCAAGTGCACATGGGGCATTTTCCAGGTTGGACCACATGGTAAGTTTCAATATATTTAATAATATAAGTCTATAATGGATGTTCTCTGACCATAGTGGTAAGGTAGAAAAGGATAGGCAGTCAAGAGTAGCGAAGAGACAGTAAAGATGGACAAGAGGACAAGCACAGAGCAGCTGTATGCCCCCGGCATATAATAACACTGTTCCTGTTTCTCTAAGGGTGTAAATTTCCATCTGGAGGAGAGGGACTGTGTAATCCAGCATGCCCCCAATCCCAGGACAACTGAAATATCAAGAGCTGATTAACAAAGGGCACAGCCCTAGTTAACAGTGAAGAACCAATCAGGAGGAGTTTATCAATTTTTCCAATGTGTGTTTGAAAGAAGAATACTGCAGGACTTAAATGGCTCTCTGGTTCCTCCCAACTGCTTTCAGGAGTTCTGAGTCTTCCTTTCACTTTCCTATCAGTCAAGTCCCTGCTTACTTGCTTACCTTGGCAGTTCATGGTGTTTATTCTTGGACTCCATGGAACATGAACCCATTCCAAATTCCTGCAGGTGACAATTGGATAAAACTAAAAATCAGTAACAAGGAAAACTAGATTTGTGGAAGCTAAACAATCAGTGAACCAAAGAAGAAACTATAAGAGCAATCAGAAAAACCTTTGATGAATGAAAGTGAGGACACTATATAGGAGTATTTATGGGACACAGCAAAAACAGTGCTCAGGGGGGATATTTAGAGGTATAAACACATTAGAAAGAGAACTAGAAAAACAAGAACCAATTAATCCTAACACTGACAGAAGAAAGGAAATAATAAAGATTAGAGCAGAGTTATGGCAGTCCTCGAAAAGTTAAAAACAGAATGAATATGTGATCCAGCGATTCCACTTCTGGATGTATACTCGAAACAATTGAAAGCAGGGTCTTGAAGAAATATTTGTACACCCTTTTCATAACAGTGAGACCTGGGCAAAGGACAGGTAGCTAATAATCAAAGGGAAGGAAATGGGTAGATAGCACTTCCCCATCAATTGGTTGCTAACACCTCCAGGAGAGGGAAAGAATTGCACTTTCCAACACAAGGGATTACCCCCCTGGACAGCTAGGCATGAGAAGAAAGGAAACCTAAAATCTATAAAGAGGCTAGACACCTCCATACCTATGGGCGCCAGCTCTGGGTCCTCTCCGGAGGAGAGGACTCAAGAGAGAGCTCTCTCTTTTCTGTTTTGAACATAAAATTTACTTTCTGCTCTTGCCTCTGTGAATCTCGGGTATTTAACTTCAACACCAGGGGAACAAGAACCCAGTCCTGATTTTCAAGACTGGTGTCAGCTGGGTCATCACTGAAAGGCAAGTGACTCACCCGAGAGGGAGATTCAACCAAGAAATTTTATTGGGGGGCTGCCTGAAGGGAAGAAAAGGAGTGAAGGAGAGCAGAGAGAAAGAAGAGAGCAGAGACAGGAGAGAAAGAAGAGGAAGAGGGCAGAGAGCTTGAGTTTGCAAGCTTCTGCTTAAGAAGGGTTGCTGTAGGCGACTTGGCGTGTGCTGATTGGCCAGGTGACTCAGGAACAGCAAGTGAACACTGTGTTCTACAGGGATTGGTTGAGAAAACCTTTGAATTTGGCGCTCTTCTGAGAGGAGTGATGTTCTCCCTAGAGGGAAACTTAACTTCAGTGGGGAGTCTCCCACACACCCAACAATCACCAAGGTAAGCTCCTTCATACCTCACATCTTTTTAAGGTGCATGTTCTGTCTCTTTCTTTCTATGGGATAATAACTGGGCACTCATCGGCACTTATTAGATGTGTGGAGAAAGGAACAAAGGGTTGAAAAAACTGAAAGATTCCGAACAGTGGCAACTCCCCCCTGAATTACAAAGCCCTGCCCCCCAACATAGGGTATCTTATAGTGACTGGTCTATCAAGTGGTGCTGAGTGAATGCTCCAGTAACACAGACACCTCGGTACTGCAATCTGGTGTGCTTCCTCCTCCCAAAGATACCCCTCCCCTTACTGATCAGACTCTAGCTGTTCAAAGAGGGACATTTTACATGGAGTGGTTCATAAGGAAATGCTTGGGTTCTCTTTGTTCGCATATTAAGTCGAGACAAGCCTGTAGGGATTCTCCCCATTGTTGTTTTGTACTCCTGTGTGCTTTGCTAGCTTCTTTGACTTAAAATAGGAAGATTTATATCCACACCCTTTTCAATTCACCTTTGCCTAGATTCCTCTGGGAAAAGGGAGTTAAATGTTTAACAACCACTAGATGTCTCCCTCTGGAGATTCCTTTTGCCCCCCGGGGAGTGTAATCTCTTTATTCCAGCCTTTACCACTAATGTTTTTCTGCTGTCAATCATTGTCTCAATACAAATTCTTATAAATAATCATGGTCATCAAAGGGAAACATAAATTTTAATACCATTCTACAGTTTAGCCTTTGTTATATTAAAGAAAACCCAAATTGCACCTAAAATATAAATCAGATTCAACTTTGATCCTTTATTCTAAGTGAGGCAGAATCCATCCCCCTTAAAAAAAAAAGTTCATTAACTAATGATAGACTCAACGCAGACAGATCAAAACTCATTACAAGAAAGACTTATAATGAAAAACTCCCAGGGTTACAAGTCACATGACAAGGGTGAATAATCTGAAGTCTTAAGATTTTTTTCATGGTCACCCATGAAAAAGTACAGGGGTCGTGACCACACTGGTAAAATAGCAATTAAATCCAGAAGTCATGCATGGAAGGAGAGGTGGAAACTGCTGGGCGAGAGAGGCTCCAACAGGGGAGAGACATTCTCTAGCCAAAGAGACAGTTCCTTGGCGCAGACACCTATGTTCCAGTTTCTTTTCTTTATTTAATTTTGTTGTTCAGAGGGGAGCTCATCCTCAAAAGTATTAGTGGGAAATGACATCTCCATAATTTTCTGCATTCAAACCTGGCATGATTACCAATGAAAAATGGTCTCCAGAGGAAACAAACTATAAAACCACACCTGAAGAGACTGATTTTACATAAGAAAATGCCCTATGTATGAGGTTTTCCCTCTAAAGTTCATAATAGTAGCTTTTTTTTTTTGGTTAGCCTTCTGCCAGATCTCTCTCTCTTCAAGGCTTGCATCTGAAATGTAAGCTGCAGAGGTGAATGTCCAAGTTTGAGGGGAAAAAAAGGTGTCACTTTTATATTAAAGCTTCTCTGGGACCTAATTAGCTGCTTATATTATCTGTTCTTATATTCTATCATCCTGCTTTCTTAACAAGTTTCTCCCCAAACACTATAGCACAGAGAGGAAAAATGGAATGATCTCATATACACAAGTCTTCTCTACCATGAAAATCTTTACTTGAAGATTTCAGGACTCACAGTCTGAATTGACTCTTAATCTA